GCTCAGGCAATCCACTCACCTCAGTCTCCCAAAGGCGCGGGATTATAGGCTGAGCCACTGAGCCCGGCTCCTTAAATTTTTAAATATAAAATTAAACAGTGTTCATCTGTCTAAAAGAAGACTCTAAACAATAGAGACTTGTATACTACAAACCATGGAAAGTCCTAATTAATATACTACCAACCTTTTCTCCAATCCTATCAAATTCTTTGCGACTTACTCAAAATCCAGCTGCTTGATTTTTTTTTGTTTGTTTGTTTTGAGTTGGAGTCTCACTCTGTCGCTCAGACTAGAGTGCAGTGGCATGCTCACAGCCACCGCAGCCTTGACCTGCTGGGGCTCAGGCCATCTTTCTGCCTCAGCCTTCCAAGTAACTGGAACCACAGGTGTGCACTACCACGCCCAGCTAATATTTGATTTATTGTAGCGATGAGGGCTCACCAAGTTGCCCAGGCTGGTCTCGAACCCGCGGGCTCAGGCAATCCACTCACCTCAGCCTCCCAAAGGCGCGGGATTACGGGCTGAGCCACCGAGCCCGGCACTTTTGTCTACTTTAAGTGAACTAGTTTTCAAGTTGGCTTGAGAACAGGGTCTGCTGTTAAAACTGATTTGGCAATCCTGTTAGAGGATTAGGAGGCCTAAATCTTGTTGCTAGGAAGCCAGGGAGCAAAGATGAAATTTGGCTTTGAAATCAAATATAGAGCACAGCACTGAAAGAGCCACAGGCTGGTGACACCATGCGCAGAGGCGTCTGGGTCAGAGGAAGATGTGCACAATACACCCTACACCCATGGCGGGAGCAGGAGGTTCTTTCACAGGGGACTTGAGAGCACAGAGCCCGAGAGTGCCTACCATCGTGTGTCGGGAGAGCCAAGATGGAGCTCTTGAAGGGCAGAAAGGAGGATGTAGAAAAGAAAACACTTGGCCTCTGGCCACCCCTAAATACATAAGGTATCCAACCCATTAGTCAGAAAAAAAGAGTGATGAAAGCGTCATATACCTATGTGGCTCGTTTTATAATGAATCATGTATGTTCTCGTGTTAGTTCTTAAGTATCCCTGGTTTGGTATACCCAGTGGCTTATTTTGATTAATTTAGTCTAATTGGTTTTTTGTTTTTTTTTTCTGAGTCACAACTCACTGCAGCTTCACCCTCCTGGATTCAGGTGATCCTCTCGTCTCAGCTTCCTGAGTAGCTGGGACTACAGGGGCACACCACCCTGTCTGGCTAATTTTTTTGATTTTTGTAGAGAGGAGGTTTCATTATGTTGCCCAGTCTGGTTTCCAACTCCTGAGCTCAAGCAATCCTCTTGTCTCGGCCTCCCAAAGTGCAGGAATTACAGATGTGAGCCAACATGCTTGGCATTATGGAACTTTTTAAAAGTCATGGGTGAAGATGGAATTGGGCAGATTTGCCTGTTGCTGCCAGTAAGGCCCAATGTGCAAAATACTCCCAATATTTTCTAAAACTCCAACCTCCAGAACTCAATCTCTTGAGCCAATGGCTTACAAGTCACCGATCTGTTCCTGTCTTGCCCTGCGTGTTCTGAGAGCCAGCAAGCTAGGATGTGATGAAACCATGCTGGGGTCTGAGGAGGTGCTCACCTGACTGCACAGCTCTAGGTTCTCGGAGAACACCGCGATCTGTCGCCTTGGTTGCTGCTCCTCTGACAGGTAACTGGCGAACAGGATGAGGACATCAAAGCCAAACTTGTCTGTAAATGCTTTTAAATCACTGGTGATATTGCTGTGAAACAGACAATTCTGAAACAACAATAGGAAGTTCAATATTAATGTCAAACTGCCCAACTGGGGGGAGTTGTGCCACATTTGTCCAGTCTTGTGATGTACTGGGAGAGATATTTATTATTAAAAGTTAGTGAAAAACAATTTGCTTTGAGAAAGTTTGGAAGCTTTCAGATCATGGCTTAAAATATACTTTGCTTGTTTGTTTTCCCAAACCAAGTAAAGAAGAAGTTTTTGCCATTATTATTAAGAAGAGTTTAGACAAGGAACAGACATCTTAAACATTTTTTTCCTGAAATATTTACCCAAATACTTACTCTGCAAAGCATATTTTCCCTCTTATCACTTATAAGATCTATGCAGGAATGTCTGCTGACTATCATTACATCGCTAGAAAAATGGGAGGGAGTTATTGTTCTTTCCTAAAATTTTGTTTTCTAGTGATTACCAACTCAAAGCAGAAATTCCTAAGAGTGAACTTAGCTGAATATACTGAGTAATTTTTATTTCAGTGTAGAAATTCAGGAGTTTTTTTTTTTTTTTTTTTGAGTCAGAATCTCACTCTGTCACCCAGGCTGCAGTGCAGTGGCACAATCATGGCAACCACAGCCTCGACATCATGGGCTCAGACAGTCCTTCCACCTCAGCCTCTCAAGTAGCTGGGACTACAGGTGTGTGCCACCATACCCAGCTAATTATTAGCATCATTATTATTATCATTATTACTGATTTATTGTAGAGGTCTTGCTATGTTGCCCAGGCTGGCATGAGAGGTTTTTTTTTAGGAGATGTGATGTCAGATTTTCTTGCTCTATGTGGCAGTTATGGAAGGACGATTAATTGTAGAAAGGGCACCCATTACCTCAGAATCCATGGACTTGTGGCCCACATCATTTACAAAAAATGTGCTGGCCTCTTCAAGTTTTGTTAACTGCAACGTTTGCATGGTTGTTTCTCTCCCTTAAAGAAGTACAGTGAAGACGGCGTACTTGTCCCTAACATAACGACTGGCATATACTAGCTCAAGAAATATTTGCTGATAGCAGAAACATGGAACCAACGCAGATGCTCATCGAAAGTGGACTGAATTAAGAAAACATGGCACATATACATGATGGAATATCATGCAGCCATAAAGAAGAAGAAAATCATGGCCTTCACAGCAACATGAATGCAGCTGGAGACCATCATACTAAGTGAACTGTCACAGAAACAAAGAACCAAATACCGCGTGTTCTCACTCACAAGCAGGCCCTGGTCACTGGTCACACTGAGCACAAGGGTGGGATCAGCAGTGTTGGACATTGCTAGGGGAGGCAGGGGGGAAGGAGGGAAGGCGGGAACATGGCAACACACTGGATACCAGGTCCACTATTGGGGAGAGAGGACCCACTAGAAGCCCAAACCTCACCTGCATGAAACTTACTTATGTAGTAAATCCTCACTTGTACCCAACAACTCTAACATAAAAATTTAAATTAAAATTTAAAAAAAATGTTTGTTGAATGACTGGAGACACACACACACAAAATCAACCTGTGCTACATAATCCATAATCCCCTATCATAGCATACATATATGTCACAGCACACACATAGTCAATCAACTGACAGTCTATTGTGTTACTCAATGAAAAACACCATGATAGTCACTCAGGGTTTTAAGTAATTCTATTCATTTTCTGATTATAATAGTAATCAGAATTATGTCTACCACTGGGAAGACACTAACATGACAGAGAAATGTGTACAATAAAAAGTGGACGTGCCACACACAAGTCCTAAGATAGCCCTGTGAAGACCTGAACAGCACAGTGCAGGGGGTCGCAGCTTCTCTCACGCCCACATTTGTGGCTGTATGCGATAACTCTTGGACACTCATGGAATGGGTATTGTGGTTTAGACTATCTACCAGTCAATTCAAATATCTAACCTACATAGACTCTTTAATTCTCCTGAGTAGGATCTCAAGGTCTATGAGGAACCTGGGAGGGCACAAAAGACTCTTGGTGAGAAGGTGAGGAGGATTGATTGATCACCAGCTTCTGTGTTTCCAGGAGGTTTTGCCATCTGCTCTGAGGCAGTCTCTCTCACTAGGCATCTTATGAGGTCACCTTCCCTTTTTTGGCTATGAGAAATTGCACATGGGAATTCACAAATGTCTCAGAGTCTATTGTTGTTGCTGTTGTTTTTTTTTTTTTTTTTTTGAGTCGGAGTCTCACTCTGTCGCCCAGACTGGAGGGTAGAGGCTGCTCCCGGTCACCGCAGCCTCAACCTGCTGGGCTCCGGCAACCCTTCCGCCTCAGCCTTCCAAGTAGCTGGAACTATAGGCACGCACTACCACGCCCGGCTAATTTTTTGATTTATTGTAAAGATGAGGTCTCACCAAGTTGCCCAGACGGGTCTCGAACCTGTGGGCTCAAGCAATCCACTCACCTCAGCCTCCCAAGGCACGGGATTACAGGCTGAGCCACCGAGCCCGGCTCAGTCTATTGTTGATGAATACCAAGATCTCTTATACCGACTTGGTCATGATATGGATGATATTCAAATACAATAGCTTTTGGAAACATGCGTTCCCAAAAGTGTACTGTCAGCTTTCATGCTTTTTATTTATTTTCTAAATGGCATAATACCAATGTGTAAGTAGATATTTTTAAAGAATTAATTCACCCACAATAGAAGTGGCTATTTAGAATGATTTTTAAAATCGGGCCTCATGTTATACCCAATTGTGCTCAATAGATACAATTATTTCAAATTATCTTTGGAGACCAATCAAGAACTTCAGTGCTAGCAAGGAGACATGGCTCATGCTTGTAATCCCAGTAATTTGTGAGGCTGAGGCGGGAGAATTGCTTGAGTCCAGGAGTTCAAGACAAGCCTGGGCAACATAGTGAGACCTCATCTTTACAAAAAAATTAGCCAGGCACCTATAGTCCCAGCTACTTGAACCCAGAAGGTCGATGCTGTGGTTAACTGTGATTATGCCAGTGTACTCCAGAATAGGTGAGAGTGAGACTCTGACTCAAAACAAAAAAAAAAGAAAAAAGAAAGAACTTCAATGCTTTTGCCATTATGACTTGTAAAGAAGAGATCATCCCAAAGGAAAACAAGAATGGACAACAATGACCTACATCTTCAGTAACTGAAGTCTTTAGCACAATAAGCCCTTGAGTTTTCCTTTCCAAACGTTTTTTCATTGTGTGTATAAAACTTCCAAATTACATTTATAAATCCTTGAAAGAAAACACACATTTCTGAGAGATTTTTTTACATATAATAACAACTATTACTACATTTCTGGCTAGTCACTGAAACAAGGGGAGCAGGTTTTGAAATTAGGAATCAGTAAATCATCAATTACTCATAGCCATCCTTGTGAGACGTTTGCTATTCAAAAATGTTGGCTGATCCCCAACCCATCTGAATTCTTCTGTGTTGAATTGATGGCTCCAGGATCTCGCTGGACTCAAGTCCAGCAGTGCTGGCAACACCAGGCATCTTGTTAGAAATGCAGAATCTCAGGTTTCACCCTGGGTTTACTGAAGCAGAATCTGCACTTTCCACCAATCCCAGGGATTCGAATGGACACTGAAATCTGGAAAGCACCGCTCTAGGGAGGCTTTGGTTCATTGAGGGGCTCGTCCCCATGAGCCAGTCCTTTGGACTCTCGTTGCTGTCACAGAATTTTACTAACTCACGTCCTCAGCTCCTTATTCCTCATATTAGCCTCATCAAAAAAAGTCACTTGGGGGGTGTGTATTTCTGGGCTGATTTATTAGAGGTTCTCATTTCACAGGTCGGGAATTGGGGCCAAGAATCTGAATTTTCATCATGTCCTTTGTGTAACATTGTCTTAGTTTTCCTTTGGGCGACCCCAAATTTCACAGGATCGAATGAAGTATTGATAAAACTCTCACACACAAACTATTGGAATCACCTAGACATGTTAGAGAAACAAAATACATTTTACAATAACTCCCAAACAGATGGTTAACACTATCTACCCTAATAAAACTGTCCAAACCAGATTCGATCTTACTGGCCTTAGGATAATGTCAAGAGTTTCATGTCTAAAACAGAATTAAACAAGGGAATGAGTGAGAATCTTCAGGATTCTGGGAGGCAGAGTCTATTTGTTCTGCTTTTATGCCGTTGCTGTTTGCATAGGAGATAATTTATTATTGTCTTCTAGCTACGCAGGGAGTCCTGTGCTGCGATGGGTCTTATGTTGCTGACAAGCTAGGCTGGCCCTGAATAAACAGCACTTCATCATCGACACAACCCAACTGTAGATACAGGTTGGCATTTTATTCCCCCCATCTGCCTTCTACCTGATAAATTACTGTTTTAGTTACATGTATACAAATACTATTTGTTAGTCTGCTGAAATGTCTCCAAATTGAACACCCCTCACTTAAGCTAAAATTATGTAGATACATACAAATATATCTCCCACCCAATTTACTAAAGGTTTAGAAAATAAAGGGACCCTCCCTTTTTAATTTGCCACCCCTATCCTCTGTGTTCATGACTTCAGCCTATAATTGCTGCGTGAAATTTAGGAAGTTACTTTACTAATTATTGCAACTGGGAATTGACTGGCAAAATCTCAGGTAAGCCCACCACTTAGAAAGAATGGCAATTGCTCCTTGTCACAGCCCTTTGTTACCTGTGGTTCCACAGACTCAATCACTAAACTTTTCTGGAGGTCGTGATTCTTTTCGCCTGAGTAATTGCTAGTTTTGGAATGAATGAGACAGCTTGAAAACGTGGAGAAAATAAGGCTTTGTCATTTCCCAGCCAAAAGCTAGGGGCTCTCAAATAAGCTGACGATCAGGATGACTCAGGGTAGGAAAACAGAAATAATATGGTTCCACTTGAACTAATATAAAAACTAAGACAGTGATAGTGATAATGTCTAATAGATTTACTACATTCGCCATTGAGAGTGCACAGGCAGATGCAGTGGAAAAGTTCACTCTCACAAAATTCTATTTTACTTATTCAGTTGCT